GAGTGGTTGCCAACCAAGGCTACAGGACCCAGTCCATCCTGCTATTTAATCCATAATTGAGAGGAGAAGAGATGGATTCATACCTTTCCCAGGGGTATTTGCACATAAATGAATGTAATGAACTTGACTGGAATTTGAACTCACCTCTTCAGTTTCTCATTCTGAGCCAATATCCAATACAACACAATACACTTCACCTCAAGACATACCAGGTGTAACAGCAAAATTGTCCAAATCCTGTAACAGCATCGGATAATTGTCCATTGCACAAAATGTTTAATATCTAAAAAAAATACTAAACTAATTGAGTTGCTTTTTTTTTTTTCAGTTTTTCAGATAAGACATTTAGCCATCTTGACACCATTTGTTGTAAGAATGACTGAAAAACCCCTTGGGGTATTCAGCTAGAAATAGAAAAGGTTAAAATCATTTTCTGTCAGCCCCTCTATGTCTTCCCAACTGAGCAATTGTGAGATGAGAAAAAGCTCCTTTAGTAATGATACCAACATTCAGGCTTCCATCTTCAAATCCATTCAAGAGAACTGAATAAATTTTAAAAAGTGGAAACAGTAGATAGGAAAACTGGATCAGGAGGTCACAACAGGAAGAGAGATCATCATTTCAGCTTAGGGCTAAAGAGATCAATTAGAAAAGATCCAACTCAATCCATAAGATGTTTGGCACATGAGAGAGTAGTCTCAGCTACAACAGTCCAAAGAGCAATGAAAACGTGAAAATGAAATCATACATGAAACCTGTGAGAAAACTTGTTACTCCAGGACAGAAAGTTAGAAGGTTAAAGAGGGCAAAGATCCTCCTGAATCAATTGAAAAATGATCCTGAAATAATATATATATATATATATATATATATATATATATATATATATTTGAACTTCATTTCAATCTTTCATGACCTTCCACTCCTTAGCTATGATTAATTAATGATGAACATATCATTTTCATTTATGATAGATTTTATCATGATTCTTCTGTTAAGCTTGGAGAGTAACTATACATTTCTATTGCTCAAAATAGTCCAATAGTGTTATAAAAACCTTGGAAAATTTCAGTAAGATATCTTTAATCATTTCTACGATACAACAATGCAAAGAATTTGGACAATTTTGCTATTATATTCAGAACTATAGGTTAATTCAAGACTTGTAGATGAAATTGCATAGACAGAATTGTTTGGAATTTGGCAATGGTCATGTGAGCACAAAATCACATGTGATTATGACCCCAAAGGTTTGAGTTTATAACTAAAGAAAAAGAGAATTATATTATTTGACCTCATCTACTCTTTTATTTGTAATGTTTGGTGTTTGGTGGACAAACACAATATCTTAGTTCATTTCATGAGAAAAGAAATGCTCACCTCTTCCATGACATACAGCAACATCGAATGACTTCCAAGGGTGGTTTCAGATAGCTTATGTCACAAGTAGATGTCTTATGGGCCTTCGTGCCCACTATTAGGGTAGTGGGCCATGTCATTTGAGCAAAATTGTGACTCACCTGATACAAATGCTTCTGATAAATATACAATGAAATAAAAAGAAGATTCATAAAATACTCCATATGTCTTCTGTTTAATTTGCTGTTTATAAAGTGCTAATATCAGCAAAGTAAAACTAATAAAAAAAAAAAAAGGTATGAATTTGTTTTGCATTATTCTATAGTGTGGGGGGGGAGAAATTAATTCTAGGAATAGAAACAAAAATGTTAACACTTTGCACTTGAAAAATGATTGATATTTAAATCGTGACATTTTTTTTTTTTGACCTTTCAATCATTGGAACATATAAATGCGTTAATGAAGAAAAGTCTCTTTATTTCTGACAAAAATCAATAAACAATAATATAGTTATCTTAATGAATATATTTTTCTTATATATGTGTGTGTGTGTGTGTGTGCACACACAGTAGAACCCCAGTTTGCCAAACTAATGGGGGGGATTGTCCGTTAAAGCCATTTTTCCGTTAATTTGAAGCACTTTTTTCATGGTCTGAAAATGCCCAGTACAGTACAAAATTATTGAAAATTAATGTAAGTACAGTATATATGTCTGCATATTTTATTTTTACGTTACCTTTAAATAAAGTTTGAAAACTTTTAGAGTTAAATCCAGTGTCCATTGGTTCCAGGATCATTAATTCGAGATTTTACAATATATTTATCACTTAAATTTTTTTAGTGGTTACTCATATTTGAATAGATACATTGTTTTTTTTTTATTTCTTCAGTTGCCATCTTCTTGAATCCCATTAATCTTTTATCCTTTCCTCAATCCCCTCTATATTTTTTTCCTCTCACTTTTACTCTCTGTCACTCCATATATACTAGTGGCATTACAAGATTGCTTGAGTTGAAATGATTAAAAAAACAAACAATATATCTATTATCATCTACCAGCATGAATATTTGAGAAATCTTATTAAAGAAAAATATGGACCCTCCAGCAGGATTCAAACCCGCATCCCTCTTGGCTAGATAAAGCATCATTAGGTCTGATATGCTTCTACCGACTCAGCCATGAAGGACATTATCGATCAAACAAGGCTGCATAGTACCTTTACAAGAAATCCTCTTTGTGGCTGATTCAGTATAAAAACATTGGGTCTAACGAGTTTTTTTTTTTTTTTTTCTGACTAGAGAGATGCAGGTTCGAATCCTGCCAGAGGGCACATAATTTCTTGAAAATTCTCAAGTGGAATATGAAAGGAATGAGAACAGGTTGCTATAATGTGCATCATATGGTGGGTATTAAATGGGTATATATATATATATATATATATATATATATATATATATATATATATATATATATATACACACATACTCAGGATGCAATGGGTAAACTGTTGCCATTTTATATTTTTAATTTTATGCATGCATTTTTGGGGTTCCGGTATATTACGTTCTGTAGGGCACCATCTGTGAGAAAAAAAGCACCATGACACAATTCACTCTGTCAGAAATTTGGAGACAGCATGCTGTACAGATTGGCATTCATGTCAGAACCTCCAATATGGTCATTTCAGGGTGTTTGGTGGCCAATGAACTGAAAGTAAGGATTATGACAGCTATCACCAACTTAAACAAGGAAACCATTCAGAATAGATTCAGGACATTACGAATTCATCTGGAGGCTGTAGTTGAAGCCAATGGCGATTTTATTGAATAAATTTACTCTCTAGTATTTCAAGATATTTTTGTGTAATTTTGGTAAATATACCTGTTAAAATGAGATGTCAGTATTATTTTAATTTTTTGTGTAATTTAGATGACAATTTATCCATCGCACCCTATATATATATATATATATATATATATATATATACAATACCACACAAGCAGGAGAACCTAGTCATGGCTACCAGACAATTTCTGACATGACATCCCCTCTTACATCAGGCCACCTACCTCCCCAGTGAACAATCCCCTTGATTATTATGTGGGAAGCAGATGAGCAAGAGACAAACAAAATTCCTTTTAACACCCAAGATGAACAGAAGGTAAGGATTCGTAATATTCACAAGGATTGGCAGTATTTACTAAATTAAACAAGAAACATTCCAGAAGAGTTTCAGCAGATTCCGAAGTCATCTTCAGGCCATGGTTGAAGCCAATGGCGATTTTATTGAATAAATTTACTCTCACTGTTATTTTCATTTTTTCATGATTCAGACAATTTATCCATCCCACCCTATATATCTTACTTATTATAAAATGCAGATTGTGTGTGTGTGTGTGTGTGTGTGTGTCTGTACATTTATATATTGGATCAGATTTCCTACATTTTTCAACTGATTTCAACAAAACTTCACTTTTTTGGCAGGTAGTGTTTCTTATTGTCTTGAACACTTTTTACTTTATTTTTACATTCAGAATGCTTTAAAAATTCCATTTACAAGACAATTGTTTATAATAAAATTCTATTCAATCGATAGACTCATAACGATTGAAAACAATGTTTTTGTTTGAGTTTGGGTTTGACCAATTCGTAAACCCAAAAAAAAAACAAAAAAAACTAATTAAGACATGCGTGTCCGTTAACCTTAAACAATAATCTTTGTCAATTTTATTTTTCAGTCTTTATGATGGTCGATACTTGATCTATCTCTTACTGTTACATCCCCGGCCAACGCCGGGCTCTACTGCTAGTATATATAATAAATATATTGTATGTGTGTGTGGATCATTAAGTACATTTATTATTGTAATTTTGAGGTGACTGTATGTAAAAGCCTTTGAGTAGGTGCATTGACAAGGAAAATTTGCTATGACTACAGATTTATTAATGACCCTCTATTAACAAACCCTAAAGACAGCCCACATCCCTTATTCATCAGATCCAAATATTACTATGTATTGCCGATGACTCAGTTTTCTGCATAAACAGAGATTCCATTGAAAATCACTGGTCTGAACCGTTCTAAATACTTCCTTTGGCACAAAGAGTGCAACGTAGGAATCTTGAATTCTTTTCTTTTTCTATGTGCCATGTCCGTTCAGGACATTGCCAGTTATGGCTCTTCACAATTTCCTGCTCTTTGTAGCTCTTAATAATTTTTTTTCTTTTTGTTATCACTCCTAAGCCCTGTTCTGTCATCCATTTACTCAAGCTTGCTAGTTAGGTTATATGTTGTTTTCCTCTTGCCTTCGGTATGTGCTGTGAGTATCAAATTTTCCAAACCCTCTTTCCTCATTATGTGCCACAGACATTTTAACTGTCTCTGATATTAAATATTAATGTCCCTTTTGTTTCCATTTTCTCTAAAATTGTCAATATTCAGCATCTTTCTGTAGAACCACATTCATGTTGCAACTGGTCTCTTCATCTGTCCAGATTGTCCAGCATTCACTGCCATAGAACTGATATTACAAAACAGTTTAGTACTCTTTTCTTTTCTTTTTAACAATTTATTTTTCCTTCTTTTTTTTTTAATTTTCTGTTCTTTCCCCTTTTCCTTTCTTTTCTGCTATACCTCATGATGTTCTTTCTTTTTTTTTTGTTCTTTCTTTTGTTTATCTTTCATCTTTCTTTTACTTTCTTTTTCATTATTTCTTTTGCCTTTCTCTTTCTTTTGCTTCTTTCTTTCACTTTTCTTTTTCGTTTCTATTTCTTTTT